AATATTTGAGTTTATTTTTTATTGCGCTCTCCGGAGAAATAATGATAGGGTTGCCTATTCGGCTGTCTCTACAACGAACTGTCTCGACGCCACTCCACCGTGTGCGCCTAGACTTCCCCAGGCATTGCCCTCCTGGGTCGGACCCTTTGGGCCACCGATGCGGGGTGTTGGTCCGCGTCTCGTGCCACGAGAAGCGCGGCACCCGTGCGGGCTCTCTCAAATCCGACTTAACGAATGTTCTCGAGACACGCTCACAGCGGTCCGAGACATATTCGTTGTAGAAACTTTGGAAAGCGCAATGGTTCAAAAAAAAAGAACTAGGAGAACTCAATGTTTAATAAATTATCTTTTCTATTTAATTGTATTCAATATAGCCGATAATGAATTTTAAAAATGATTGAAAACATACGTAAACTCGTCGAGAAACAGCAGTCCTCCAATGAAGTAAATGATATCGCCCACACTTTCAGCCTAAAAAACTCACATTTCAATGGTTTAATAACGAGGTAAGAGCAATAAAGCAAGAAAGTTTCGATATTAATAAAAAAAGTGACGATGTTAAACTGAAAATGAAACTTAAAATGTGGCAACGAAATTGCGTGGAATATTTGTTTACTGTAGAAATAAATCCGTAATTAACGAAAATGACGATCTAATGCGGACTAAGCAATTTCATGTGGAGAAACATGCGAGTCGCCAATTTTCGAAAAACATTGATTTTTTTCTGTTTTTTTTCTATCGTTGTTTCTCCCAAAATTCGCCATCCAAAAAATTTGAAAAAATCGACTTCCGCTGAGTTTATTTGCTCAGGAACGTTTAATTTACAAAATTTCGAAGCCATTTTTGATATTATGTTTACTTGTGATTTTGATTATTCCGTTAAAAAAACTTACATCATCATTTCTACTCCTCTTTCAGATATTCCCAACGAATCCATCGACACAAAAACGATCAACCAGAAGAAGGAAAATGAAAATTGGGAAAAAGTGATTGAATTGAGAGCACGTATGATTTAAAAATTAAAAATATTCCATTTAATTCAAACATTTTTTGTGTGCTTCAATGGTATGACCAAATTGCGAAATCGCCGAAAATTCTGATTACCACGTAGCCCTGGTCCACAAATATCCGTGCGCGCAAAGTCCGAAGTGATTCAGAGATGGGAGCAATTTTCAAAATTGAATTTTGAAATTTAAGTTAAACGTGATGTTTCTTTTAATAATAATTAATAGTCATCAGTTTATGACTATTGTTTTGTTCGACATATTCACGAAAACATCTTTCCAGGAAAATGAATGTATATCGGCACAATTTCGATGTTTCTAATAAAATTAAAAATTGTGCTATATGCGTTTTTTTTTAAATTGAATTTGATATTTAACAGTGAGTGAAACTGCTTTTGAAGATTTAAACTAAACCATGAGTGTTTTAATTGGGATTCCGTTGGGAATATTTGTTCAATTTTCTAAACCCCTCTAATCAGGTAGAATTCTGATAAACAAATGTGATTTTCGAAATACATTATAATTATAGTTTTTCGCACACTTATGGCTTGAAGTGTCCATACACACAAGCTAATGCTTAAAAAAAGAGAAAAATTCAATGCCGTAAAGAAGAAAAAAAGGTAGAAAAATACATTAGTTTTCTTTATTCTTCTCATTTATTCTTTTTTTTTTTCGAAACAACTTTATTACCTTATTTATCTGTCCGTTTTTCTTACTACTGCTTGTCTTAGTTATAATTAAATTTTGTGAAAATATTTTCAACCACACGAATGCCGAATAAGTGATACGTAATTTCGACGTCCAATATGTATACCATAACCAATGGACCATAGGGTATGAATCAACATTGCGTGACTGACGCTCTCATCAAGATATAGGAGCGCTATATAAAAAACGCTTTCATGCTCTCTTTTAGTTTTCGTTTCGGCTTTGAGTTTTTGAGTTTGTGTCTAAATAAGCGTATTCATAAGTTGATGTTCTCCAAAAGACACAACATGCTAAATTATTGTCACAATTAATGATCAAAATTTTTGATTAACTGGGGGTTAATTATCACAAAGCATCTACCAATAAGCTATTTTAAAGAAAGAATCACCTCGATTATAACTATTTTTCCGCATAAAGTTTAAATTCGATTAAAATTATATGATTCATTATTCAGTTTCGGTTTTTTTACTAGCAGTAAAAAAGCAGTGCAGTTTTAGCAGTGTGCTCTCTAGAAATGTAGTAAATTCCTGAGAAATTCACGAAGAATTCCGGAATATTCTGAGGCACTGCTGTGAATTTTAATGTCAGTTTCGTTTCGGCTCGGCAATGAAACAACAAGTCCGATGAAAAAAAGAACATAGCTCGATCGAGTTTGCGCAGACTTTCAGTAGACTACGCATTTTCTAACAAGAGTCTGCTGAAATCCTGCGTAGGCTCAATCAAGTAATGTTTTTTCAAGTACTTCTTTTAAATGAAAAACAATTGAATTGATTGACTTCAGTTACATGCAAAGCTAATTCATATTTGATTACTAATAAACGTACGGATATTTTATTTTTATTAAATTGTTCAGGTGAATTGTGTGTGTGTCATATAAAACGAATGTACTTGGAATGAATGATTGCGTGTGTTGAATACTACCACGTTTAAAATGATTTGGAAATGCTATCCTGTCATTCAATATTTGTTTATTATTATTGGTATTACTTCATATCTAGTATTTATCAAATTGGTAGTATTCTCAAAGTTATTATATGGATATTGCAGGTATCATTAAAATCGGTGTCAATTTTGCAGAAAAAATTCTTATAGGGTCGCTTTACTATATTTGTGCCTATCCAGAATACTCACAATATTATCTTCAGCTGCTGAAATTTCGTTATGTCTTTTTAATGGATTGACAATCGGAGGAGCGGAATGCGAAAATTCGAGTAAGGAATTAACCCAGATGAATATTTATTATTTTTGAATTTTGTGGACATTCGTGTCATATCAACTCATTTTCATATATTCTTTGAAAGCAATTCGGTTGTTGCGCAATTACTCTTCACAGCTGGTAAGTAAGAACCTGAAAAAAGAGGTTTTTTCTATTCTCTTTTGAACACAAAGAATTCGTGAAATTACTAAAAAAAATGGCGGTTTAAAGGAATCATGAAAAGGAGTTAGTTTTTGAGTGCCAAAAAAATCGATCTGTATTTCATTATTCCATAAATGGTTTGATGCTGCAAATCACAATTTTTTTTACAATATCGACAAAATTACAATATCACATTACTTTAAATTTTATAGATTTGTTCATGTGTACATTCTTCAACAACTTTCAAAAATCAAGAGGATATTTGATATTGATTATTTTTTTAATATTCTTGGGTCAATGTCTTTGCTCAAATTTTGTTTATGGTGATGCAAGTGAGAATTTTACAACTTTTTTAAGCAAACCAACTTTTGTAGCAAAATGATCGAATGTTTCATTATTAACCAATGTAATCACGTAAAGCTTGTAAAAGTGTAAGCTAAAAATGTCTATTTCGATTATTTCGCATGCCGTTAAATATGGAATTCTATAATATTTTTTATTTGGTTGCAGATCGAAAGTCTTCACCAGCATTCTTAATCAATTTATTTATATTATACGTTTTAATCTTGGTTAATTTAATAGTATGTCTCAAGATATCCTAATTCTTTAGTTTGCAATACGAGATTTAGGTAGAAATAATTGTGAGAATTTTCTCGAAATCAAAGTATAAATCAACTAAACAAAAAAGTCTCGAACGCAAATGTGAGGTAAGAATTACACACAGAAACATATTATCGACGATGACGAATTGGATGAATTCGAATAATCAAAATCTTTAGCATTTTTGGTGTTAACACGATATAAGAAAACATTCTCAACAATTCGTTAAGAACAAAAAAATGCGGCTTTTCATTCCAATCTTTTTGGCAGTACCAATACGACACTCCAATTTCACAACACCCTCAATTTAGCGTGTCGGGCTAAAATGTGGGCGCCTTCTAATTGAATTTTTCCACTGTTTTCACTGTAGTAATCCTAAAGCAAAAAGTTTCCAATTGTTCATCCTGATGAAATCTCTGAGCCCCAGTATGCACATTTAATATCTGATGTATTGTTCAATGTATTTCATAGTATTTCAAATCAAAAATGGCCCCAATAAAATGCATCTGCAAATTTGCATTCTGTTACAGCTGTCTAGTACATTTAATATTGTGCAATGCTTTATCATTGGCTCTTTGTTTCTGATGACTACTCAGATTGTTGAATTATCTGCTTTTTGGGTTTCTCGACTTTTCTATAGTAGTGATGAGACTCACAAGACATTTAATCATCAACTATACTTACTGGTAAGACACGTTTTAAATATTTCACAATAAACGAGCTTACGTGTGAATCTTGAAATTAAATGAACTCTTTTAATTATTACCGTAAGGCAATTTGTGATCATTATCTGCTATTAGTCATATTTTTTTTAATTGGTGTGATATTAATTTAGTTTTCAGTATTCCAATATCACAATCACAGTATTTCCATGGATTATAATAATTCGCCACAAAAATTACCGGCGAAATTTATGCCTTTTAGCTGGTAAAAATTCAAAAGTTTACGCGATTGGCCAAGAAAATGTCAAAACAATCGATGGACACGATATAATTATGCGACCGACGCAACTTGATTATTTTAGGGCATTGAACAGAGCTTGGTAGATATAAATCGTTTTTGATCTCATCAAACATTTATTTATACAAACACTGATTTGATATCGTTCGATGTCGTCTAGTTATCTGTTGTCAAAGTTGGTTTGACTGGAGCTTGACGAGGAGCTGGAGCTCCTCGTCAAGCTAGACCTCCAACGACATTTATTGAAATATTTGGTATGTAGCAAAACACATGAATTGAACGATTCAACGATTGCGATGGGCACATTAAAACAGATGTCTGAGACTATTTGAGCCAAAAGTTATTATTGACATGCATTAGAAAATTATTGACTAGATTGATTTGAATGAGCCATTGCTTTTGAGCCATTGATTATAAACTTGATTCAATTCGGCAAGAGTTTCAAGACGATCGGTTTCCTAAAAAAAATTATTGAGTTTCTCAAAGGGTATTTTGAAATTTCTTGACACCCAATAATTCGTATTCGGTTTGTGTAATATTAATCATCGACAAACGCTTATCGATCGTCTGAAAATCATAATAATTCTTGATAAATCTCAAAATCTAAAACTGACCATATATGGAAGATTAACAGTAGAAATTGAAGAAAGACATTCTTGGTAAACATTCAGTTTTCCGAATCGAATATAAGTGTTTTCATCAGTTCTAAATTTTTTTAAATTTATATTTTGTCAAACATTTTCAACCCAACAATTAAATCTGAATTTGACATAATTTGAGTTTCTCTGTCTTTCGAGGACAATCATTAAATTTCCCATTTTATTCTTACTTTGCATACATTCCTTTTCCTTTGAAATCAACCGATTTCGGTTCGCACTCTGCGAAATTTGCGCTTCTGAACTCAAAAAGAAAATAATGAGTATATCCATTCCGAAGTTCAATATAATCCCATGAATTATTTTTGGGTACTTAAAATAGGAATATTAACAATAATGGGCACTTAATTACAGTCAACAGAATCGTATCGAACTTGAACAATGACATCTTCGATATAATCGATTGGGTTCTCATGAAACGGCTTTTGACGAGCACGTAGCAACTAAAAAAATTTTGCACATTTTTGCGTTTTGAACCGGAAAATTACACTCGTTTTGACGATGACGTCTTTCTTGTTGAACTCGTTTTGCTGATAAATTATCCGACGTTTGTAGACTTCTTCTTCGAGTGATTTTGCCTTATATTCGGGAATATGACTTAGAAATGGATATTCGATGGCTGCGATGACGAGCAAAATGAAGCATGGTAAGAGTATTAGAAGGCGCATCTCGACAGTGACCAATTTGCAATCGAGTGAAAATCTATGGATCTTTGAGGGGAGGAGCTTTACACTTTGTGCAATTCGCAAAAAAGAGCAACTATGCGAGGATCACGAGACTTGGAAACAAAAACCAATTATTCAAATAATTAAAAATTGTAAGCTCAACATATTTTGTTGGAGTTGCAATTTATTCAATAAAAGTATTTAAGTTTAATTATATATATATGCAATATAATTAAACTTAAAAATAACTTTTTCTTTTCTCCAATAATTGACAAACTTTGTGTTTATTTATTTCGTTTTAACATATTTTTAAATTATTGGTCATAGTTTTATATGTATTTACTACATTTCACTTATGCTAAAACAAACTTTGTGCGGCTGGCAGTAGTTTGACGAAAAAAAAGTTCAACTAGTTTTTGATAGCCGAGCATACACAGTAGTACTATAAAAGTGGCGGGTGGGAGTCGAAAGAGAAGCATCAGCAAGTGCAGTCGGTCTAATTCGAAATGTTCGCAAAATTGTAAGTTGTGTGGAAATATCAGTTGGAAATGTTGAGATTTTCAGCATTCTCGCTGCTCTTGTCGCCATCGTTGCCTTATTTGGATGTGGTGAATCTCAATACGTCTATCCAGCTGCTGCTGCTGCTCTTCCTGCTTACTATCCATCCTACTACGGAGCCGCCTATTATGGATACGCAGCACCAGCTTATTATGCTTGGGGATCCAACAAGGGAGCTGCTCCAGCTCCTCGTCAAGCTCCAGTCAAACCAACTTTGACAACAGATAACTAGACGACATCGAACGATATCAAATCATTGTTTGTATAAAAACACACACGAAGAAATAAACATTTCCAATTGTTTTCTTCCATGAATATAGTCGAAATGCGAAACTCATCAAGAAAAAATGAAGCAGTTCACGCGAAAACAGCAAAATAAGCATTCACGCGTGGCGAGACCTTTCAAGGCGCATGCGCGTAAATCTACCCGCGTACAGCAGTCGCCGGACGCCTACCTACTATAAACTCGTTTCAATAATTTTCAAAATGCAAAATTGTGTTCATTTATATATACCGTATTATCGCGGTATAAAAATCCTCATATTACACCTTGATCTGACTTTTCCCTTAATCATCAAAGCTTCAATGACAACCATTGTCAAAAAGAAGCTTAAGTTGACTTCTTATTGTGTCAGAAAAGCGGCCATCCTTTCTCAATCCAACAAGCTCAAACGGCACCAAAAGGCAAAACTCCTTTTGGCGGGCGCGCGGGTTGGGAAACATCTGTCGATGGTCTTTTCGGACGGGAAGCTGTTCACCGTGGAGGCCGAATTCAATTCGCAAAACCATCGAGTGCTTGCCCGAACGTCCGAGGAAGCTTCAGAACTCGGCCGGACTATTCATCGTAAGTCGCACCCCGTCAGCATCATGGTCTTCGGAGCCATCTGCTCCAATGCCAAATGTCCTCTGATTTTCGTGAAAAATGGTGTAAAATCGACAAAGACTTCTATGCCAATGAGATCCTGAAGAAGAACTTGCTTCGTTGGACCCAAAAACACTTTGGTGGAAAACGATGGGTGTTCCAGAAGGACGGGACGCCAGCTCATACTGCAAAGTTTACGCAGGAGTGGTGCGCCAACAATTTCCCCTCCTTCATCAAGTCAACAGAATGGGCCGCCTCGTCTCCTGACCTTAATCTGTTGGACTATTCCGAATGGGGGTCTACGAAATTTGAGCGTGTTTCAACAATTATTCACTGAAATACATTGGTTTTCATATAGTCCGGGTAATTTTCAGCCACCCTGTATACTTGTCCAGTGGCAAGACAGTTGCGATAAACGCATTCTCGTAAATCCAACCAGTTATCGGACGATAATTATGAAACTCTGGCATTACTTCCGCGGGACTTTTAACAGCTCATCCTTTTTTCTTGGAACAATTATTCCGTTTCAATAAGTCAAAACAACTTAATATACATTGTATGTGTATAACACTAGAGCATTAAAGATACCAACAAAACGCGAAAATTTTCTATAAATTAAAATGGCGTTGAAATGAATTTCCGCCAAAACAGCAGTTTTTGCGGACAAGAGATATTTTTTGGATTTTCTCGCAAATATATTCCTACATTTGATCTTTGATCTTGATTTTTTTTAATATTTCAGGTTTAAAAGATCAGAAAAATTGGAATAAATGGAAATGCCGTGACACAAATATTAAAAAAAAATCAAAAACCCACTTAAATTTGAATATTCTTTTTGATCGGTTTTTTTCGCATTATTATTTTTTTATTTTTTATCTGGTTTCATTCCATGATTAACGCCATATAAGCAGTTTGAACAGCACCTCGAGTTTGAGTGTCATCTTTATTTCACAACCTTACATTTTATTATTTTTTGATTATTATTTCAGTCTGAATTCAAAATATTGTAACGTATTCTAATATATTATTTTTAATAAAGTGAATAAAAGAGAAAAATATAAAATAAAATAAATTATTACAATTAATATAAGAACACCATAAATACATACGTAGATGTGTAATTGTTAAGGAAATTCGAGAAACTTCCTTGTAGTGTAAAGATCATAAAAGGTAATCGCAAGCAGCATTCAAACATTCAAAGAAAGAACATCTCAGTCAAGTTTCCTGTTTAAAATCGCGAAAACAGAAAAAAAAAAACGGAAACCCACTCTTATCATTGCAGCATGACCTTCGAAATACGAATCGCAGATTTGGCGGTGCCTAGAAATATTTGCAATTCGCCATGTGGTCTTCTCCTACATTTTATTTATTGTGCCTTCAATCTATATTTGTAATTGTCACAGGTACCAGCCTTCATTGAATTGTTTAGCATTGTTCGATGTTTAGCACAAACATGTAGCGATAATGATCCAAGTTGTCCATCATGGGTTTCATCAGATCCAAGATCCTGTCTTAAGAAGGATTATATCAAGACGAATTGCCGAAGAAGTTGCAGGAATTGTCCGCGATATCAAGCAAGTCTGGTTTTGTATTCAATGTCTAGAATTTTGTCGACTTATTCCAGAATATGATCTTCGAAGGCTTCCACCTCAACTTCGATCAATTACTGGATTAGTTGGAAAATGGCGAGGAGAACATACTGGAAGAGTAAAAATTCATCATTAAAAAAAGGGTTAAGTAATATTTTAGGTCAGTTTTCCCACCATTCCAACTTTCAAATATAGCGAAGAAATTGATATTTCGATTCCAGAAGGAGGAAGAGTGAATTCTCTGAACTATACGTAATTTTTTTATATTATTTGTATGGATTTTATTTTTTTTAATAAGCTTAGAGCAGTTGCTTGGTCCAGTGATAACGAAGAACTGCATAGTGAATACGGATACATCACAGTGAAACCGAATACTCGAGAAATATTACTAACAACAGTGATGGGAAATGGTAATTTTTTTCTAGACCAAGCAGACTTGCCAATTAAATAAGCAATTCTTGATACGAGGATTTTTTTGGCTATTAGTTCTTGTTTTCTTTATAAACCAATAAAATCGAAATTTTTCAGGCTTCATCACAGTTGAAGAAGGTCCGTTTTTTGGAAACACCATAAAATTCGTATTAAAAGATATTGGAAGGATCAGTTTTGTGAGAGACGAGCATTTGCACAATGTATGCTGATCAGCAATTGATGTGTATCATTTATCCATTGATGATTGTTTTCAGCTAGTACGTGAATGGACAATTGTGGACAGTTCGAAGTTAAAAGCCCGTTTGTCGATTCAAACGCTTTCGCACAAAATGTCCGAACACACTTCTATATTGTATTCTAAGGTTCCACTATGATTTCATTCAAATTCTATTTAAAAATAAACGAGATCCTCAAAATTGGCATTCGCTTATGAGCCTATTCAAGCAATAAAAATGTATTTAAAATATTAACCCGTTTTTTTCAATGCAGGACCATGGAAAAATTCACAATTAATGTAATTTTTTTAAAACATAATATTATAAAACATTCTATTGTTCCAATAGTAATCACACATACATATGTACACACACAGACCTCAGTGACCAATTTCATGGTCAACTAGACCCTTGATCGAATTATTTTTGCCTAGTCGATATCAGTTCCGGGTTGAGAATTAAAAATAAGCGATTCATATATTGTATCAGTTGATAACAAAAGTAATTTCTTGAATAAATCGTGAACCATTAAAAGAAAATCATGCTCGAAAAAAATATATATAAAAATGAAGACGTTCGTGAGAGATTTTCGTGTCTGATAAAATAGGGGTTTGCTATAAATAGCGTGATTCGCATGGATTTCACTAATTACTGCTTGGAGTAGTTTATAGCTGTGAATCTGCGACAACAGTGAGAAAATGCCAAACCCACCACCGAAGGAGGATACCTGGGCGTTCCAGCCCATCGGCTCGCCGTTCCCGCCAAGTCCGGTTAAGGTATGGCATTCGCGTTGTTGTGTTTGATGAATAAAATGTGCGTTTCCAGTGTATGGGAGAGCAGAACATGTACGTCGCATTGTGGTACAAACACGGAAAACCGATCCATGGAAGATCGTGGAACAACGGAGGAGTCGTCGAATGCTCGTTCCCATACAAGACCGCCGAGTTGACGACGAAGCAGCAACTCGAGGGACAGATCCAGGTGCTTCAATACGTTGGAGACCACAACAACCAGGGATTCTGGTACGAGTGGATCAAGTACAAGGACCGTCTTGAGAAGATCGATGATAAGCACCAGCTTGTGCGCTGCGGTGACTCATTCCCAATCTTCTGGAAACGCCCCGAAGGAAACCTTCTCGGTTACGTCGACAACAAGACTGAAGAGGCTTGGTTCTCGATCAACGGACAGGTCATCAAGAAGGCCGGTTCGAATGATCTCGCTGATATGTACATCATCATTCGCAACTGTATCGGCGGTCCACCAAACTGTCTCTGCAAGAACTGCGCCGCTGCTCCACCACCGCCTAAGCCAGTGCCACGCGTCGTTATCGATGAATGGATGGATATCCGTGAGGGAGATCCATGGCCAACCGATCGCCAACTTGTCAAGGCTTTGGACAAGTCTCTCGATACCTTGGCGGGACTCCCGGCAGACCAACATGTCGGTCTCTGGTACATGCAAGGAGAACCAGTTATGGGTCGTGTCTGGAACAACAACGGAAAGGTTCGATCAATCGCTGCTAATGATAAAATAGATAATTTGATATTATAGGTGGCCGCCTGCTTCTCGTGGTTCAACAACGAATACGCGAAGAACGTCGGTTCAATCCAGGTGCTTGTTCATCTTCCTGACCATGTTCGTGGTTTCGACTACGGATGGATTCCATTCCCAGAAGCCGCGAAATTCGGAGATAAGGAATGGCACCCGGTGCACGTCAATAATCACAAGGGAGACATTTCTGTTGGAGTCGTCAACCTTCCAGGAGGAAAGCAAGTGCTCGCTAAGGTAAGAAGCTGACTGGGAGTCTTCCAATTAGTCTGAGCTTCGTTAAAGGTTGACGTCCGTAATGAGAAGACCGGTTATGGATACCAAGGAAAGGAAGTGTCGGCTATTGGCAAGGACTGTGCCAACAACACAATTGTGCTTTGCCGCAAGGCCAAGCCAGGATACAAGCTTGACGGATAAAAGACTGCACCAGCTTTTCATTTTTGTTCCTTTGATTTCAATAAAAACTTGGGATGGATTTCTATGAAAATTTCTCCCGCTGTTGGACTAAAAATGTTATTGCAAACGTTCAATGAGCTCGTTGTTCTTATCTTAATTAGTTTATTGTCATGCGGTTAAATGATAATGCGTTTATTTTTGACCGCATTAAATTTTGTAAAATTAAGAATGACCGCGAGCTTCGTTCACAATGCTCGGAACTCTTAGACGGATGTTGGACATTTTGGAATCTCTTTGATGGATTTGCGCAATTTTTTCTTTATTATTAGTATGAGCGTTTGGATCCAATTTGCAGCACAAATTTTTCTCGTTGCAATATTGATCTGAGGGGCAGTTTAGGCCAATGCAATCTGGAATGCGTCAGTATTTGTGATTAACATTCCCATGAGATCTGACGTCCATAACAACGGGGCTCTTGCGTTGTTGGGGCCGGCACGGGGCAACACTTCTGCTTATTCACACATTCGAATCCCGCAGGGCAATAATACACAATCTTTCCGTGTAGTCTATCAGGAATACATGCTGAAATGTATAAGTCGAAATACAGAAACTTGAAAAATTTTAAATCAGTATGATTGTATCGCAAATATTATGACTTACGTCCAGAGCAGGCTTGGGCCAGAGCAATTCCGACGAGACTAATAAGAATGAACATGAGTGAACTGAATGCCGCTATCAAGTAATTTAGAGGTCAGGATGGTTAAGCTGATAAGAAGTGGCGACTCGTGATCGTTGATGAAATGTTGTGTACGGAGATCGAAAATTTCTTTTTTAGTGATTTCAAACTTGTTCATTTTCGAAGTTCGCCAGGATTTTTCATTCCTCTTCATTTTGATCTCCACATCCTTGAAATATGAACACATGTTGTATTCAAAATATTCAAAAGTGAAAGCTTTGAAAGTCGTCGAATAAAATAGAGAGTCAAAATTTTTTCTTAAATTTCACATTTTTCGACTCAAATTCTTATTCACACCTGTTAGCTAATGAGCACAAGGAAGAAATTAAGTTTTGAAATAAGGTTAAAAATGGTGTTACGGACTTCTTCATTTTATTTGAAGACAGTACACATGCTGATGACATCGCAGTCGTTTTTCTCCGCTATGAATCAACGTAGAATAGGTTTGGAATTTTTGTTACCTACTGCCTTCTTAAAATTCTATTTTTATTCAAGTTAGAAATTTTCTCAATAATTATTTGGGTCGATATAATGAATAGATTAACGGCATCTCGGACATCTGCAAAAATGCATCAAGATATCGTCGGAATAACACTGTCTGATTTTGCGATCGCGTACACGAACTTCAGAAAGTCCATCACAATTCTGCGAACATTTACGTCCCAAATGAACAAAACATAAGGCGTTGACAATGACATCTGAAACTTTAAATTATCAAAACAAAATTTTTTCTTTAATCAAAAACCAAATCGGAGGCGATCATCATCAGCGCATTCGAGACTTTATTGTCAATGTTCAGTGTTCCACTAGACGATAAAAGTTGCCATGCGATAACGTAAAAATGGATGACAGTGTGCGTTGCGACGATTTTTGTCATTCGCGATCGAATCAGACGAGATTCGCTGCTGAATTTGCCCTCGAATCGTTTGAGGATCATATAAACAGTCATGATTCCGATAGATACGATTACGCACAAATAAACGATGCTCTCGTACCACAAAAACCATCCAAAATTGAGTTTTCCTTCCTAAATTGATTCTATTCATTTAGATTTCCATTTATTTTTTCTTTCACTGTTTCATATACAAACGAGAACTTCTGCAGTTCATAATTGTAGGTCATATGACGAGATCCGGTAATAAAGTTTGGTATCATAGTCATTCCGAATCCATAGCCAATTACTGCCACATAAATGATACGGTAGTATCTGTACCATATCTGAAATCAGTCATTAATTGAATGAAGCAATTCTGCTGTTAATTGCTTGTCATACTTTCGGGGAGTTCGGGAATGTCGCAATCGACAATCTGTGAACACATAGCATTATTGTACTCATCGTTTGACAATGATAGAAGAAATGAACCAGAAACCCTTGCATTTTGAACACAAGTGGGATATTCTCATATAAAAACCGAATGTAATCTTTAGTACTTTCATCAAATGCTAAGCGAATAAGCCAAGTGTTGACATGAACAATACAACCCTTAATAGAGAATTTCGAGATCAATTTTCAATCTTGTCTTACTATACAGGCATCACACTGAACCATCCGATAAAACGAGTATCTGAAGACTTGAAAGTTCCCTAGTGTTACAATTAGCAAAATTAGAAGAATATAGGATATTGGGCAATAAATCGCCCAGATGATAGTCATCGAATCCATTTTTGACGACGAACCGCACGCAAGCGAGCAAGAGCCGCTATACGCGCTTAATTAAGAAGAATGGGTTGCCCTGGGCAATCGATGAGAGAAAAGAGGACTTCGGGATCTGAATGCGTCATCAGCGATGCTTCGATTAGAAAAAAAACCCAATAAGCTCGCGCGCAAACAATTAGAAGTTTTGAGGGCGTAGCTTGATTAGCATTTTGGCTCAAACGATAATTGAAAACTATGTAGTATGATTCAAATGTGAGATAATCCTCAAGGGAAAAACATGTAGAGTACTGTGGTTGATTTAATTGTTTAAAGCGAAAAATATTTCTGTAAATTCATTGATTAGTCTGGATCAGTTTAACGCTTTTTTTAATGTTCAAAGTTTTTTTTTAATGTTCAAAGCAATAATCTTTCTGAAAAGAACTTTATTATAAAAATACACAATTAAAGAAACATCTCGAGCTACGATTTGAATAAAAGAAGTCGTATAACGTTTGCTTTGGCATGCATTAGGTATATTCCAAACGAGAATGGGTCCTGACAAGAATTGGGATCAGCCTGAAATAATTGATGATGAATAATTGTTTCGAATATATCACTCTTGTTATGAAATGCATCGGCGTTGGATCAAATTCGAACTTAAAATTTTGATGAAATAATCTCGAAACCACTAATTATGATTACCATTCAAATTTTGAAAAAATTTTATTCCGGAAATGAAATAGTTGACAAACAATTGAGTGGAATGTCACTGATTAAATATTGATGTTATAATTAAAAAATAAAAACGCATAGTTTAAGAAACCATCAAAGAAATTCACCAGAATATCGAATAACCTGAAAATGAATCTTCCTTGATCCTTAAATATTCAATCGATGCACTACATATCATTAGAAGTGTAATATTTCAAATGCACAATGAGCAAATAAAATTATGGATTTGACATATTTGTGTAAAGCCACATAATGCAATAAATTACAAAGAATAGGTAGAATAACAAAAGTAAAATCTTGAAAAAGAAAACATATCGTGTGACATGCTTGAATTTAGAATATTTGCAGCCACTATGTGCTTAATTGTAAGTATCTTTTCAATTTTCTTTCAACATAACATTATAAGTCAAATGTTTGATTTTTTTCTAAATATGACGATTCTTAATTATCTCAAACTAAAACAATCTCTCAATACCATAGTGTATACCTGTCTAAAACATAAACAAATTTTTGTAGCTTTTGAAATAAATCTTAAAGGGAAGTACAACGTCAATTGTTTTCAACCTTCGAGTGGTTCATGAGATGTACAAAGAAAAGGAAGGATTCCACATAATTTGTTTGAACAAGGCAGCTTCGAACATTATACTTGCTGTTTCCTACCTTATATGACCAACAACTGTTATGTTTGTGTAAGTTATTGCGATTTTTGGGGTTTTGAAATTCTTTTTTTTTTTTACTTTTTTCTCCGAATTCTGTATAGAAAACTCGGGTATTCATGAATTGTTTTGAATTCTTCGATTCGATTTTTCAATCAATTCAAAATTATCTCTTCCAAAAATGAAATACATATTTGTTTCATACTCATAATAGAGCATTATGCCGAAATTGAAAGAAAAAGTTCAAATCCAAGCATGATGTTAAGGGCGATTTATTCTTGAAAAAATAGTAAATCATACGAAAATGAAATTTTGCCTTTAATTTTTTCCAACCTTTTAATTGCATTATTGAACATTTTAAATGCAATTTTGAAACATCCGTCATTAATTATAAATTAAAATGATCTGAATGTGTCACAACGTGCGTGCAATCTCTTTTCGATTCATTTCAGCCAGGAAATTTCAAAGGAGATAATGTTTAAAGAAAATTGATAGAGGAACAGCTTTGATTGGAAAAGTATGCAAAATGGCGTCAGTGTGTGCACAGTAAAAACAGAATAAAACGAAACAACTCTTTAAAGCCTTCCCTCTGTGAAGTCGGAATTCCAAGATTGCAGAAAAGACATCCTGCTATGAGTATTGATGTCTTGAAATTTGATAAAATTGATGTTCCCCCCCCCTGATCAATCTCTGATCAAAATTACTTTTTATAATAGAAACAAAATTTGTGTGAAAATTATAAAATAACGTTTTTCCTTCAGCAAAAATGTTTTCTTTAAGCAAAAAATTGTTTCTTCCTTATCGCATGAATGTTCTATTCGGACAATTGTCGGGCTGGGGACCATTATTAATGTCTGGTCCGTTTACACAAATTCTCCTTAACATAAACCGACTTATTGCTATTTATTTTCCAAAATTTTATAGAAAGCGTTCAGCTATTCCACCCACCAAGGTTTTTTTTGTATTTTGAAGAATCCGCAAAAAACTCTGTTGTTTTTTTCAGATAGCGTTGGTTTTTTTCTGGATTCTCGCTGTGTTCATTTCAATTCCGGCCCAAATTGATGACTGCGGATACATTTTCGATCTCAACCATCTATCCTGGCTTACGATGCCGTCGTCTTGTGGCGAATTCCAAGGACAATTGTTTGCTAATACTGTCATTTGTTGTGCTATTTTCACGTCTTCAATCAATTTGACTAATGTGATTGGACTGATTCGACTACTACTATTAGTTGAAAATCTCCAATTTTACAAAAATCAGTTTTCCGTTTTTCAGGCTTCATCAAATGTTTCAGACAGAATAACGAATCTTAGGAAAAAAAGAACATTCAAAATGTTCATGCAGGTATGAATATATCGATTTCAAGACAATTCTATGATTGAATTGAAGTGTCTGATTCAAGACGTGATGTATGTCTTGTGCTCGATTCAGGCGGTATACTTTTACAATCTTTATAATGCAATTTGGTATTCTTTTCTGAGCAACGCCGGCATTCCGCTCTATGTTACTTTATTCGACGCGTAATAACCAATTTTTTTAATAATTTGATGGAAATATTTTAAGGTTTATTATGCTTTTCTTCTACAAAAAATTGAGAAACTCTTCAAAGCATAGAAATTCGAAAATGGCGTTAAATTCGAGAATATCTATTACCAAGTTTTAATACATCGGTGAAATAAATTACACTTTTTAGATGCTTTATTTTTAAAAAAATTTTGTTCTCATAATACTCGATATGGAAAAATTTTTTAAACTATTTGGAATTTTCAGAACACTCGTTTTATTATTTCAATCAGGGTGATCAATTTCAAGCCGACCGACTGGTCATGTTAATAAAATATATGTATTTATAATGTTTATTTATCAAATATTTAAAGAAATAGTAAATTCGAAAATGAATTTTTATTGAATTTTTCAAATTTATTTTTGCAAAAAATTAAAAATTTTGTTTTTAAATATTTTAAATTAAGAGAAACTCTAACAGCTAGCATATCATCGCATTTTTCTTTCATTTAAGCTAGGAAATTTTAAAATTTTAATGAATGGAATATATGTATATAGAAAGGAACGGACGCCGACTTTATGAAGCATCCATAACAGAAGCTTATCTTAGAAAGAATCTTAGAAGGCTTAGAAAACGAAGAAATTGTTTTAAGTACAAAATTCTAGGTTATTTAGCTGCCGAAATCCAGTCAAAGCGGTAAACAAACTCAGGAAAATCGAATAAAATATTTTGAGATTCATTGAGAAACTAACGTGTCTCTATAATATTTTAGATTTGTCTCAATAAACTTTAGGAAATCTCATAACATTTTCGAATTTATCGAGATAATTTAGAAATCGCTCAATAAATTTTAGAAAATCTTATAAGATTTTAAAAAATATTTTTAAGTTTAGCGATTCTCAATAAGTTTTCGAAAGTATCAATAAACTTTAGAATTTCTCAAAATATTTCAGAGTTTGTCATTGAATTCAGGCAAATGAAAAAAAATATTTTGAGACAATTCTAAAATCTTATGAGGTTCGTTGAGAGGCTAACGTGTCTCTATAATATTTTAGATTTGTCTCAATAAACTTTAGGAAATCTCATAAGATTTTAGAATTTATCAATAAGTTTCAATGAATATTGTGAGACTTTAAAGTTTATCAATAAGTTTTAGATTTGTCTCAATAAACTTTAAAGTTTATCAATAAGTTTTAGATTTGTCTCAATAAACTTTAGAATATATCAATAAATTTTAGATTGTTCTCAATAAACTCTGTCCAATATTATGTAATATCATACGTTATCGAGCAATTTTCACACAAATAGAATGTAATAACATCCATAATAATTGAATATGTATGAACATTTCATTTATTACAATATTAATGCGAAATGAATATATTAATAATAAAAATCAGAAAAAAAATAAATGAATCAATTTATCCTTTTCGCATTTTCTCCTTTTTCTGCGAATGACGCACAACGTTGCTATAAGGAATTCGTTGCATATATTGAAAGAAAATGTTGAACTTACAAATTTTGATGATTGAATTTGTCGTTTTTCGATTAATTTCATGAGTTCTTTGCGATAAAATGACTTCTTAATTAAATCCGGATTCGCGTTGAAACGCATTTTCAATGAAGTCACAATCTCGTGATATAGTTTATAACTGAAAATTGCCAGTTTTAAAAAATAACTGAATGAGTCTAACTTTCTCAAAATACTATATCCAATCCCGTTTGTCTGCTCCGAGCACATGTTTCTCTTGATAACGTGATAAATGTGCTCATGCGCTTGCGTGCTTATTGCCGACAGCTGACCATGACATTACTGTACAAATGGTATATAAGTTGCTGAAACAATAAATACAGTAATCATTAGTATTATTTCTTATATCAACGACAATAGCATGATGCTACAACGTTCAATAACTCTTAAAATTGCAAAAAAAACGACTTACGTGCACTTTTGAACCAGAAAACAATTGAGGCGCCCCATCTCAAATTAGAATTTCTAATAATTTGCAAATACCTGCGA